AAGGTACATGCCCTTGACCGGAATCGAATCTGGGACCCTTGAGTCCGCAGGCCGACGTTCTATCCACTGAGCCAAACCAGCCAGGGCGAGGATATGGTTTTTAAATTGATTTTTTTAGAGAGAGAAAAATTGATGTGGGGAGAGAACGTTGCATCCCATAGGCACCCTGTCCACAACTTGGGTGTGTGTCCTAACTGGGAATTGAACCTGTGACCTTTCGGTGTACTGGATGATGCTGCAACCAACCAAGTCACACCCGCCAGGGCTGAATCTCCGGGTGTTTTTTGGTTTGTTTTCTTTCACAGATCATTTTTATTGAATCTTCACAGTTCTTAGATAATTCCATTGGAGGTGGTCCTAGAGCTTTACTCCACTCATACACAGCAGAACCTGATCTCCTATTTCTTTTTGCTTCTATTTCAACCCATAGTAACATCTTACCCATTTTTTTGGAAAATATATTTTTATTGATTTCAGAGAGGAAGGAATGAGAGAGAGAGAGAGAGAGAGAGAGAGAGAGAGAGAGAGAAACATCAGTGATGAGAGAGAATAGTTGATCAGCTGCCTCCTCCATGCCCCCTACTGAGGATCGAGCCCACAACCTGGACATGTGCCCTTGACTGGAATCACACCTGGGACCTTTCCATCTTCAGGCCAACTCTCTATCCACTGAGCCAAACCAGCTAGGGCAAATCTCACCTTCAATTGAATTTTTGTAGCCCTAGTTACATTGACAAAGATAAAAATTTTATATTGAATTGGATAATTCTAGTCTTCAAATATGTAGAGTTTAGAAATTCAATTTCCATTCAAATAACACTATTCTGCTTTTATTTTTTAATGATTACCACACTATCCCACTATTGATTACCCTTTACTTAAAGGTTCCCATATGCCTTTTGAAAAATTTAATTATAAATCATTATTGTTGAAAGTATTACATATGTCTCTTTCCCCCCATTCCTCTTCCCCCCACTCCAAGCCTTCGCCACCCTATAGTTTGTGTCATTGGGTTATGCATATATGCATATGAGTTCATTGGTTGATTCCTCCCCCCACCTGCTCGCCCCTCTCCAGCCTCCCCTGTTTGCCCCCTGAGGTTTGATAGTCTGTTCAATGTTTCCAAGTCTCTGGTTCTATTTTTATCAGTTTATGTTCATTAGATTCCACATAAGAGTGAGATCATGTGATTCTTATCTTTCTGTGACTGGCTTATTTTGCTTAGCATGATGCTCTCTAGGTCCATCCATGCTGTTGCAAATGATCAGCGTTCTTTTTTTCTTTTTCTTTTTTTTTTTACAGCTGCATAGTATTCCATTGTATAGATGTACCACAGCTTTTTAATCCATTAATCTGCTGATGGGCACTTAGGTTTTTTCCAAATCTGAGGTATTGTAATTGTGCTACTATGAACATAGGGGTGCACATGTCCTTTCTGATGGGTGTTTCTGAATTCTTGGGATATGTTCCTAGAAGTGGAATCACTGGGTCAAATGGTAGTTCCATTTTTGATTTTTTGAGGAAATTCCAAACTGTTTTGCACAGAGGCTGCATTAGTTTGCATTCCCGCCAGCCATGTACCAGGGTTCCCTTTTCTCCACATCCCTGCCAACACTTGTCATTTGTTGAATTGTTGATGATAGCCATTCCAACAGGTGTGAGGTGGGACCTCATTGTTCTTTTAATTTGCACCTCTTGGATGATTTGTGACAGCGTTTTGTCATATGCCTGTTGGCCTTCTTTATGTCCATTTTGGAGAAGTATCTACTTAGATCCTTTGCCCATTTTTTAATTGGATTGTCTTCCTTTTGTTAAGTTGTATGAGTTCCCTGTAGGTTCTAGAACCCGTAGCCAGGGAAGACAGGTGTCCCAGAGTCTGCTGGTGAGGCAGCGGGACTCTGGCTTGGGTGGTTTCACTCTGAGTATCACAATGGGATTCAGGAGCCAGCAGCCGGGGATGCGGGAGTCCCGGAAATCTGTGGTTGATGCAGCCCGACCTTGGTCAGATAGGCATGCACTCAGCAACTCACTGAGGGGCCCAGGAGCTGGGGAGGTGGGAGTCCCGGGGTCTGCAGGTAAGGCAGCACGACTTTGGCCCAACTGGCTGCAGGGTGTCCAAGGCCAGTATGGTTGGTGGTGAGGCTGGGCTCCTAGTTGCAACAGCTTCCCCTTTAAGATGGTGTGGTTTCTGTGCTAGAGCTGCACAGCCCGGGGAGTGCCTGTGGCGGTAGCAGGTCCTCCTTGTCTAGGAGAGTGTGGTCTGCCAGGCCCTTAGACTCTGACGAGATCTACTAGTAACTGTCACACACACACACACACACACACACATGCGCACACACACACACCACAGGTCTACACACTCCCCTTTCACTCCCTTACTCACATTCCCTCACCCCTGGTCCTGCTGGCCTTCATCTTTATCTCTGAATCTCCAGTTTTATCATTTCTGTTTTGTTTTTACATATAGTTTTAACAAATTATATCACCTATGTAGGTTCTTGTAACGAATACCACAGTAGAAATTAAAAATTTTTAGTTATGCCTGGCCAGTGTGCTCAGTGGTTGAGCTTCAACCTATGACCCAACCAGGAGGTCACAGTTAGATTCTCAGTATGGGCACATGCCTGGGTTGTGGGTGTGATCCCCAGTAGGGGGCGTGCAGGAGGCAGCCAGTCAATGATTCTCATCTTCTGCCTCCTACACGCCCCTTACTGAAGGGGAATCGAACCCAGGACCCTTAAGCCTGCTGGCTGACGTTCTGTCCACTGAGCCAAGCCAGCTAGGGCTTTCATGTGATTTTAAGGTTTTTGAGCTATATATACATAGATCACCTTTCATGATGAATATGTCTTTCATTTACTCTAAGTATAATTTGTGAATATTTGTGTACTCTTATCATTTTGAGAATGCCTCATATCAACTCAGTTGACATCTTTAATATGTCTATAAGGGAAAATTATTTTTCACTATGATAATTACAGTGACATTCTCACATTAAGAAAAAAACCAATAACTTTGTCAGAATTCAATTCTCCCACTATTTCAAAAGTTTATTGATGTTCAAGTGAAAATTAAACAGTATTTTTATTCAAAGTTTATATTACACACGTTAGTTCTTTTTTATTTCAAAGATATTTCCTACGTTCTTTTTCCCCCTTTGTTTCTTTAGAGAGAATAGAAGAGTGAGAGACACAGAGAGAGAAACATTGATAATGAGAGAGACACATAGATTGGTAGCCTCCAGCATTCACCAAGACCACATCCCGACAGAGCCGGCAACCTAGGTACAAACACTGGCCGAAATCGAGTCCAGTACCCTTCAGTCTGCAGGGCCACGCTCTAAACACTGAGTTAAAGGGAATAGGGCTGCCCTAACCGGTTTGGCTCAGTGGATAGAGCATCGGCCTGCAGACCCAAAGGTCCCAGGTTCGATTCCGGTCAAGGGCATGTGCCTTGGTTGCGGGCACATCCCCAGTGGAAGGTGTGCAGGAGGCAGCTGAGTACTGTTGCTAACTATCCCTCTCCCTTCCTCTCTGTAAAAAAAAAAACAATAAAATATATTTTAAAAAATAATAAAAAAATAAAGTGAATAGGGCTATCCTACATTCTTGTGTTATATTTGTCATGTACGTATACGATGGTGTAAGAAGGTGTTTTGTTTGATAAAACTTACCAGACTCCAATGCAGGCACATGTCTTTATTATGACGCGCTGTATTGGGCTCACAGATAATGTGTTTTCGTAAACAAGGACTCCAATGCCTTCACGAGGGAAAAATGACGCCTTTTTAAATCCATCAGACGGTCATTTCCCAGGGTCCCTACCAGCCCATGTCCACGTTTTCCCTTGGCCTGATGTGGGAAAACCCTCGATCACCACCTGGGACTCTGGAACACACATTACCCAGAAGGCCTTGTGAGGACTACCACCAGCTTAGCCAATGAAGGGTCAGAAAAGGCGTTCCCCTTGCGTCACAACGCGCAGGGGCGGGGCTTCCGGTGCTCTCTAGGCGGCTATTGGTCTCCACCCAGAATCTACTCCAGACCGGGGCGGACGGCTCCAGGTGGGCGGGGCAGAGGCGGATACTCGGAGGGAGAAGGCCCGAGTCCTCACCGGCTCAGCCCGCACGTGGGAGTGAAACTCGCTGACGCCCCCGGGTCACCCACGTCCGTGACGGAACAGAGGCCCCATTATCCCCTTCCGCGGCCCCTGCTTCTTACCCGCCTCTCGGGCCTCACCTGCCTGGGTCCGCGCACGGCGTCCAATGGCAATGGCCTTGCCCAGTTGCTCAGCTGAGGTGAGTTCGCGGCCCCCGCCCCCCCACACCTGCTCTCACCGCCTCCTGACCCTCAACCCTGCAGCCTGGGCTCAGGGCGCCTGTCCCGTCCCGCAGCTCAGGTCCCCGCCAGGGACCCTGAGGAAGGAGGAGGGGAGAGTGGAGTGTTGTGGCTTCTGAGGACACAGCAAGTGCAGGGCAGAGAGGACAGGGGTGACTAGTATCTGAAGTTCCCCTGAGGGTGTGGGCTGTGAGTATTAAAGCAAAAATCAGCGACCGGCAGGGAGGATTTCAGAGCCTCAAGCCCTGCTTTCCCCAGGCTGTGGGGTCCCCCAGGAATTGGGTTGTGGTAGATCCATCTCAACCCTCACAAGCTCTCTCTGGGTGCCCTGTGCCAAGTTCATGGGTGAGTCCAGAGAGTCCACAGTGTGGAGCAGGAAGGTGTCGGCTGAGGCGTGAACCTGGGGTCTGAAGATGGGAAGGAGGTAGACATTACACAGTGGTGTGCACATCTGTAGGAAGTGTGAGCTGATGGTCCCGGAGACCTGGTATTGGGACTTTTTAAAAATATATGTTTTTATTGATTTTAGAGGAAGGGAGAGGGAGAGAGAGATAGAAACATCAACGATGACAGAGAATCATCCATCGGCTGCCTCCTCCACGGCATCTGCTACCCGGGCATGTGCCCTTGATTAGAATCGAACCCGGGATCCTTCCGTCTACAGGCCAACGTTCAATCCACTGAGCCAAACCAGCTAGGGCTGGTGTGGGGACTAATGTGTGAAGTATAAATAAATCCAGGTCTGGCTTTGTCTTCGTGGCGTGATTTGGCAGGAACGCTGGGGCCCTACAGCATGGACCAGAGCTTAGATGGTGTTTCATTTGTTTTAGTCTGGACTGTTGATATTCTCTTTTTTGCCTGGTGGTTGGTGTCACAACTCAACCCATCTGTTGTGCTGAGGGCCATCACAGCGACTAATGGGACTGTGATGAGAGAGCAGCCAGCACTGGCATTAGGGCCTGGAGACAACACAAACATGGGGAGCCCTGGAGGAGGTTGAGGATGAGGAAGATGTGTAAGGAGCAGGACCTTAGGTTCTCAGAATTGCAGCTCTGGGTTCAATTGTCTCAATTCTGACAGGTTGGCGTGACCTTTGAGGACATTGCCCTGTACTTCTCCAGGGAGGAATGGAGGCTCCTTGATGAGGGTCAGAGACAGCTGTACCTGAATGTGATGCTGGAGAACTTTGAACTTATATCCTCCCTGGGTAAGACCCTCACTCTGGCTGGTTCCTGGGACTTGGCTTTGCATTTCCCCATGCCCCGTCACCTCTAGGGGGTGCTCTGTCCTCACCTGTGGACTTTATACACTGCTTGCTTTTTCCAGATTTCTGGGTAGTTACTGTGGCTGGCAGGGTTGGTTTGATTGCACAGCTCCCTTCTATACCTTTAGTCACAACACCTGCTGTACCGAACTCATAGGGAAGGGTTTGTGGTTGGTTGTGTGGCAGGGAGCCTAATGAATTCCAGTTGAGTCTTGAGCAAAAGCATATTCTTCCTGTTGGTCATTTGTAGGTATTTTTTTGAAAGAAGTCTCTACATCCTTAGTCCTATTTTTTGGGGGGGAAGGGGTTGGGTAAATATTTGTTTATTGATTTCAGAGAGGATGGGAGAGGGGGAGAGAGATACAAACATCAATGATGAGAGAGAATCATTGATGAGTTGCCCCCTACTAGGGATGGAATCCGCAGCCAAGGCATGTACCCTGCAACCAAGGTACATGCCCCCGACCGGAATCAAACCTGGGACCCCTCAGTCCACAGGCTGACGCTCTATCCACTGAGCCAAACCAGTCAGGGCAAGATCTTTGTTCTTTTTTTTTTTTTTTTAAATATATTTTATTGATTTTTTACAGAGAGGAAGGGAGAGAGATAGAGAGTTAGAAACATCGATGAGCGAGAAACATCGACCAGCTACCTCCTGCACACCCCCTACTGGGGATGTGCCCGCAACCAAGGTACATGCCCTTGACCGGAATCGAACCTGGGACCTTTCAGTCCGCAGGCCGACGCTCTATCCACTGAGCCAAACCGGTTTCGGCAAGATCTTTGTTCTTAATGTAGGAATTTATTGCTCTAAACCAGGGGTGGGCAAACTTTTTGACTCGAGGGCCACAATGGGTTCTTAAACTGGACCAGAGGGCCGGAACAAAAGCATGGATGGAGTGTTTGTGTGAACTAATATAAATTCAAAGTAAACATCATTACATAAAAGGGTACGGTCTTTTTTTAGTTTTATTCATTTCAAACGGGCCGGATCCGGCCCGCAGGCCATAGTTTGCCCACGGCTGCTCTAAACTTTCCTCTTAGAATTGCATTGCCTGCATTTTATACATAAGCTTTGGTAGATTGTATTTGAATTCACTTTGACTCTATTTTTTAAAAAATATATTTCTTTATTGATTTCTGAGAGAAAGGGAGAAGGAGAGAGAGATTGAAACATCAACGATGAAAGAGAATCATTGATCAGCTGTCTCCTGCACGCCCCCCACTGGGGATCGAGCCAGCAACTCAGGCATGTGCCCTTGGCCAGAATCGAACCTGGGACCCTTCAGTCCGCAGGCTGATGCTCTATCCACTGAGACAAGCCAGCTAGGGCTGCCTCTATATATTTGAGTTCTCTTTTCTGTTTTTCTTTCACCCACTGGACCTTCAGGAGCGTGTTGTTTAATTTGAACATATCTGTGAATTTTCCAGCTTTCTTGAAAATAAAAGTTTTCTAGTTTCATACATTGTGGTTAGATAAAATACTTGTGATTTCTTCTCAGAGTTTGATACTATTTTCTGACCTAACACATGATCTACTTAGAGAATGTTTTAGGTGCGATTGACAAGAATGCGTCTCCTGCTGCACTTGGATGGAATGTTCTGCATATATTTCTTAGTTCTCTTTTCTCTGGAGTCTAATCAGACTTCAATTATTCCTTATTGCTTTGGATGGGATGTCGTTAAAGGAGTGATGTTGAAGTTGCCAGCTAATATTGTGTTTGTTTTTTTTACTGTCTTCAGATTTTATATTAGTTGCTTAATATCATTACTTATTCTGTTGTTTAGTGAATAATATTTCAAATTGTTATCCTTTTGATGAATTGATTGATACATCATTTTATGATGAACTTTGTTTCTTGTGATACATTTTTTGAGGAGACCTGTTTTGTCTGATGGAATTTCACATCCCCTGCCCGGTTTTGGTTTCATTTGCATGGCATATTTTTTTTGTCTCTTTATTTTCAATCTATTTGGGTCCATAAAGGTTTAGTGCCTCTTGTATTCATCGTATATTGCATCTGGTTTCCCTTTTTTTTTTTTTTTAATCCCTTCAGTGACTCTGCATTTTGAATGAGGAATTTGTTTATGGAGCAGCTGTTGCCACTTCTACATCCTTTCTGGCTCTTTTGTAGTTCCTTTGTCTTCCTGTCTTATGGTCGTCCTTTGTGATTTGATGATTTTGTACAGTGATTTGGCCCCTCTCTCTTTTGTATATCTATTGCATAGTGTTTGCTTGTGCTTTTCAAGACACTAACATAAAACAAGTCATACTCTTTGCAATCCATTTCATCTTAATAACACCTTCAATTGCATATAAAACTTCTCCCCTTGGAGACTCCACCACACACTTCTTTATAGATTTATGATGTCTCAAGTCAAATCTTTTCATGTTGTGTAGGTATTATGGTACACAGTGCCAACTTTGTTATTTTTACTAGTTTAAAATTTTAACTTTTATAACAGAGTTACATAATGTGCATTCCACCAATGCAGCGTTGCAGTATTGTGAATTTGGTTCTGTTCTCAACCTTTATTAGTGAGATTTATAGTTTCCTATGTATTCATGTTTCTACTTAGTATTTTTTTTTTCATCTTGAAGAACTTTTGTCAGCATGCCTAAAAAGTCAGGTTGAGTGGCAATGAACTTCCTTATCTTTTGTGTTTCTTGTAAAATACTTATTTCTGAAGATCAGGTTTTGTGGATAAATTGTTGATGGTTTTGATTGAGTGTTTTAATACATCGTCTTATTTTCTCCTAGTAGGCAAGGTTTCTTCAGAGGAATCTCCCTGTGTGAGAGGAGTTCCCGTTTTCTTTGTGTTTTCCCAATTCTCTTTGCCTTTTGATTTTTGACCCTTGCATGTTAACGTCTTTTTTTTTTTTACATGCAATAAACCCTAGTATTTCAAATAAAATGATCTTAAATATAATGATGTTACTTGCATTAAACATTAATATCTCAAAAAAACAATTTAAAATATAATAATATTACATGCAATAAACACCAATTATTTAAGAAAGATGATCTTACATATAATAGTACATGCAATGAAAATTTCAAGAAAGGATTTTTAGTATAATAATATTACTGTACTAACAGAGTATGATATCATAAAAGTTGTAGGAAATATTAAAAATCTGCAACTAATAGGATTACTTCTCTTATATTCTAAAATACTTTTTTTCCTCTGGCTCTAGTTTTGTTCATCAGTTTATGTCGTTCATTATACACCAAAAATGAGTGAAATTATGTGCTATTTCTCTTTCTGCGACTGACTTATTTCGCTTAGAATAATGCTCTCCAGGTCCATCCATGCTGTTGCAAATGGTAAAAGTTCCTTCTTTTTTACAGCAGCGTAGTATTCCATCATGTAGATGTACCACAGTTTTCTAATACAGTCATCTGCTGATGGGCACTTAGGCTGTTTCTAAATTTAGCTATTGTAAATTGTGCTGCTATGAACATAGGGGTGCATATATCCTTTCTGATTGGTGTTTCTGATTTCTTGGAATATATTCCTCGAAGTGGGATTATTGGGTCAAATGGGAGTTTCATTTTTAATTTTTTGAGGAAACTCTATACTATTTTCCACAGTGGTTGCACCAGTCTGAATTCCCACCACTAGTGCAAAAGAGGACTTTTTCTCCACATTCTCGCCAGCACTTGTCGTTTGCTGATGATAGCCATTCTGACAGGTGTGAGACGGTACCACATTGTTGTTTTGATTTGCATCTCTCAATGATTAGTGACTTTGAGCATGTTTTCATATATCTCTTGGCCTTCTTTATGTCTTCTTTCAAAAATATGTATTTAGGTCCTTTGCCCATTTTTTGATTGGATGGTTTATCTTCTTTTTGTTAAGTAGTGTGAGTTCCCTATAAATTTTGGAGATTAAACCCTTATCGGAGATAACATTGGCAAATATGTTCTTCCATGCAGTGGGCTTTCTTGTTGTTTTGTTGATGGTTTCTTTTGCTGTGTAGAAGCTTTTTATTTTGATGTAGTCACATTTGTTTATTTTCTCTTTCGTTTCCATTGCCCTAGGAGCTGTATTGGTAAAGATAATGGTTCGACATATGCCTGCAATTTTTTTTTAATGTTATTTTAAAAAAATATATTTTTATTGATTTCAGAGAGGAAAGGAGAGAGAGGAAGAGAGAGACATCAATGATGAAAATCATTGATTGACTGCCTCCTGTATGCTCCCTACTGGGCATAGAGCCGGTAAGTTGGGCATGTGCCCTTGACCAGAATCGAATCTGAGACCGTTCTGTCTGCAGGTGGATGTTCTTTCTACCCACTGAGCCAAACCTCTAAGGAAGCGGTTCTGAACCTGTGGGTCGAGACCCTTTGGCAGTCGAATGACCCTTTCACAGGGGTCGCCTAAGACCATCCTACATATCAGATATTTACATTACGATTCATAACAGTAGCAACATTACAATGATGACGTAGCAATGAAAATAATTTTATGCTTGGGTCACAACATGAGGAACTGTATTTAAAGGGCCAGAAGGTTGAGAACCACTGCCTGGGTCATATGTCTGCTGTTTTGCTCCCTATGGATTCTTCTAAGATTTTTATGGTTTCCCATCTTACTATAACATTTCTTGAGGAAGTACGGTTTGCATTGAATCCATACAGGGACCTGTGAGAGTGCATGTTCTTGATTGTTAACATTTGTTTTTTCAGATTATGGAAGTTGGTTTCAGCTTATTTTTAAAAAATAAATTTTCTACCCTCTTCTTTTCCCACTTTTCTCTCTCTCTGTCTCGTTCCATGACGAACACCCTTAGTGTTTCCTGGGATTCCCATAATGCTAATTACAGGTAAACTTTATGGTTTTACTTAATTTAATTTGCTGAATTCTTTAAATTTATTTTTCTTCTTTCCATCTGGATGATTTCTAGTGACCTGTCGTGGACAGCACATATTCTTTATGCCTGCTTTTGGTACTCTTTATTGCATTTTTCATTTTATTCATTGTAATTGTGCAACACCAACATTTCTATTTCATTCGTTTTTATGATTTCTGTCTATCCGATAGTCTCCTTTTGTTCTGTGTTCATTTCTTCATTATGTTTTTGCCGTTTGTGTTCTCTTGTAGCTCGCAAGCATTTTTAAGGTAAATATTTTGGGTTCTTTACCAGGCTGTATGTGCTCTCCATTTCTTTGGTATCGGTTAGTAGATGGTGTCCTTGTTTTTCGTCCGGTGTTGATGTCTACGCATTCGATGAAGCAGTTACTCCTTTGAACTCTAGGACCAATTCTAGCTCAAGAAATACGTTCATCGGCATATGGAATCAAGGGTTTTGACTGGGTGGAGTGTTGTTTCAGGTTTGAGAAAGTCCCAGTAGCCTAGTCCCCTTGAAGCTCCATGAGCTGAGGTTAGAATAACAAAAAGTCAATGGGTCCACAGTGGCTTTGGCAGCAAATTATTATTATTTTTTATTTTTTTTATTTATTTTTTTTTTTAAAGAAACTGCTTTTTTATTTTTTTATTTTTTATATTTTAAGTGTGTGTGGGGGGGTTTTGTGTTTGTTTTTTTTAAAATATATTTTATTGATTTTTTTTACAGAGAGGAAGGGAGAGAGATAGAGAGTTAGAAACATCGATGAGAGAGAAACATCAATCATCTGCCTCCTGCACACCTCCTACTGGGGATGTGCTCGCAACCAAGGTACATGCCCTTGACCGGAATCGAACCTGGGACCCTTCAGTCCGCAGGCCAACGCTCTATCCACTGAGCCAAACCAGTTAGGGCTATTATTATTTTTTAAATATATTTTTATTGATTGTAGAGAGGAAGGGAGAGGGATAGATAGAAACATCAATGATGAGAGAGAATCATTGATTGGCTGCCTCCTGCAAGTCCCCCACTGGAGATCGAGCGCACAACCGAGGCATGTGCCCTTGGCCGGAATCGAACCTGGGACCCTTCAGTCTGCAGGCTGACGCTCTATCCACTGAGCCAAACCGACAAGGGTAGCAAATTATTATTTTTTTTAATGACAAGTGACGGTTTTAGAGTCTTTCGTGGCAAATACTTTGGGGACATACTGCTTTTTGATTTTATTCCTGGGATAGGTTGTTGTCAAAGGGATTTCTTTTGGGATGCATGCTGATAAATATTAGAGGGTCTGCTGATTAAGTAGACCTTGGGGAGTTCACAAATGTTCCACAGAATTCTGTGATTCGTAAATACAAAGATATCCAGGGTTTTTCACAGAGCAGGCCAATAGGGTCAACATTAGTGCAAGTGCAGTGGTTGATAGAGGAAACTCTGACCCTTGTTTCGACTGTGAGATCACAGGTCCTTCTCTGCCAGGAACTGGGCCTTTATGGACGCCAGGTATTAGATGGAGAAGAAGATATGAGATGTCGTGGGTATAAAGAGAGTCTTTATTGCAGTCCAAGTAGCCATTGCTACCAAGGAGCCACTCCAGCGGTTCTCAACCTGTGGGTTGCGAACAATGAAAATACATCCTGCATATCAGATATTTACATTACAATTCATAACAGTAGCAACATTACAGTGATGAAGTAGCAACGGAAATAATTTTATGGTTGGAGGTCACCACAACATGAGGAAGTGTATTAAAGGGTGGCGGCATTAGGAAGGTTGAGAACCACTGCTAGACAAAACAGTTCTTCAAAGCAAAGTAGTCTATAAAGTAGTGAGGTGCACACTGGCTTTTTAACAATACATCCTCCCTACAAAGCAGCCCCCAACATAGGACCCAGCCTAAGAGCCATACTTAGTAGCCGCTGCCAACATAGTAATCTAACCATTGCAAACACAGTAATTCAACCAAGCAGCTACGTACTGGCTGGTCAGGAACATACTATATATCAACTTAGACAAAAGAGGCTTCGTTCGAAATAGTGACATTAGTCTTTGGGTTATAGAAGCGCACGCCTGCACAGTGTAGGCTAGTATAGCTTGCTATGTCCTTGCTTTTGTGACTGTGTATAGCAAATTAGCCTTGAACACTCTGAATTGGAGTCCCAAGCTCAGATTGGCCTTGAACATCCCATGTCCTCTGCACAGAGCACCCACATTGACCCTAGCTAAATATGTTTGGTAACCTACTCTAGTCATCTCTTTGTAATTCAGCTTTTTTTTTTTTTTTTTTTTTTTTTTGTCTCTACTGAATTCTTTTTGGTCTTAATTGCACTCATTTTTTTTAAAAAATCCTCACTTGTTTGTGTTTTTGTTGTTGTTTTGTTTTTCGTTTTTATATATATATATTATTGATTTTTCACAGAGAGGAAAGGAGAGGAATAGAGAGTTAGAAACATTGATGAGAGAGAAACATCGATCAGCTGCCTCCTGCACACACCCACTGGGGATGTGCCTGAAACCAAGGTACATGCCCTTGACCGGAATCAAACCTGGGACCCCTGAGTCCGCAGGCCGACGCTCTATCTGCTGAGCCAAACCAGTCAGGGCTGTTTTTTGTTTTGTTTTTTTAACCACGGTGCATTTCAGAGAGAGTGGAAAGGAGGGAGTGGGGACAGAGTGGGGAACATTGATGTGAGAGAGACACATTGACTGGTTGCCTCTTGCACCCACCAGGCGGGGCAAGGAGCTAAACTCAGCCCAAGTGTGTAACCTTGACACGGAATCAAACCCTTGATCCTTCTGGTTGCAGGCCGATGCTCCAACCATTGAGCAAAAGCAGCCAGGGTTTCACTGTATTCTTAACCCCTTGTAGTTGTTTTTGTTCATGGATAGCTGTCTACTTGTTCTGAGAGTGGAAAGGATTATCATATTTCTTACTCGGCCATCTTGCTGATGTCACTCGCACAGATTTTTTTCCCTGTGATCTCTGTCGCGCTTTGTAGTTCTTCCACAATGCTCACCATACATTTCTTTGGTTTTTTCTTTTGGATTTATATCATCTGAATCCCATGTTCGACTCAGTTGGGATTCATGGGGAAGAATCATTTGTGCATCACAGAAGAAACATGACCAGACGAATGACAGGGTGGACCCAGCGGCAGTCTTGCCTTAGTGAAGGCCAGTGGGAAGGGTTTTGACACCAGTGCTTTGTTAAAGTCATAACTAGAAACCCATTTTGCTCAAAAGTATTTTGTTTCCATGACCCATTTCTCACCCAATTCCCCTTCTACTGGCTTATTGTGGACACTTTGCGAACTCCTCAGGGGTAATAATGACCATTTCTACTTAGATTCCAAGCCCACAGATAACTTTAACCTCTCTAGATGTTGCACCTGTACCTCTTTCACAGGTCCCTCATTACTGCAAACCAACATAGGTCCATGCCTGCAGAGCTTTGGAGTACACACGTATTATTATATTGACCTTGAACGTCATGTGCTTCAATAGAATTGTGTTGTATGGGTTTGAGCACATTCAGATTATCCTACACAGACGCAGGTCCCCAGCATGAAATGTCCTAAAAGGGGCCGTTTGTGGAAGAACAATGAGTAGAGCCTTCCTCTCTTCTTTGTTTCCCACCCTAAGCTTTTGTTCCTGTTTTGGTGAGATTTTCATCATTGACCAGGTAATATATAACAGCTATTTCATTAGAGCTCAACTTACTTGTCTTGGAAATCATTCTATGGAATCATGCCTAGTCATGACAGAGAAACACTTTTTGTAAAGATAGTCTGATTTCATAAGGTCAGCACGTACCTCACTGGTGTTTCCTTTGTTCAGGTTGCTGCTGTGGAGCAGAGAATGTGGAGGCCCCGACAGAACAGAAGGTTTCTGTAAGACTGTCACAGGCAAGGAATCCCAAGTTAACCTTGTCTTCCCAGAAGAGCCACCCCTGTGAGAGTTGTGGGCTAGTCTTAAGAAAGATTTTCCAATTGACTGAGCTGCAGGGAACACAACATGGACAGATGCTGTTGAGGTGTGGGGCATGTACGGAACTATTTTATTTCAGTACAAAATTTCACCAGCAGCATGTGAGAGAGAACACTTTTATTAGGGGTGTGGAGAGGCTGTCACGTTCAAATGACTGCAATTTCAATATGTCCCAGAATCATTTCACCTGTGGGGAGGCTGGGCAAGGCACACTTTCCTTGTCAGGGCATCTTCACCTAAAGGCTGATCAGACCTGGGACAGTCTAAATGATATTTCTGTGGGTGGTTTGATGTTTCAAAGGAGAAAAGATTTTTACACCAGAAAAGAATGTGAGGGGGACATTGGCAGCAGTAATCATCATCATCATCAGAGAGTTTGGACTGGAGAAAAGCCTTATAAATGCAGTGAATGTGGGAAATCTTTTATCACCATCAGTCACCTTTGTCGTCATCAGAGAGTTCACACTGGAGAAAAGCCTTATAAATGCAGTGAATGTCAGAAATCTTTTACCAATTGGAGTAGCCTCCATTATCATAAAAGTTTTCACACTGGAGAAAAGGCTTATAAATGCAGTGAATGTGGGAAATCTTTTACCAGTAGCAGTGTCCTCCATTATCATCAAAGTTTTCACACTGGAGAGAAGCCTTATAAATGCATTGATTGTGGGAAATCTTTCATCACCATCAGTGACCTTTGTCGTCATCAGAGAGTTCACACTGGAGAAAAGCCTTATAAATGCGGTGAGTGTCAGAAATCTTTTACCAATTGGAGTAGCCTCCATTATCATCAAAGTTTTCACACTGGAGAAAAGCCTTATAAATGCAGTGAATGTGGGAAATCTTTCACCAGTAACAGTGACCTTCATTGTCATCACAGAGTTCACACCGGAGAAAAGCCTTATAAATGCCGTGAATGTGGGAAATCTTTCACCAGTAACAGTTATCTTCATCGTCATCACAGAGTTCACACTGGAGAAAAGCCCTATAAATGCAGTGAATGTGGGAAATCTTTTCTCACGAGCTCTCACCTTCATCGTCATCAGAGAGTTCACACTGGAGAAATCCCTTATAAATGCAATGAATGTGGGAAATCTTTTACCACTAGCAGTTACCTTCATTATCATCAGAGAGTTCACACTGGAGAAAAGCCTTATAAATGCAGTGAATGTGCTAAATCTTTTATCACGAGCTCTCTCCTTCATCGACATCAGAGAGGTCACACTGGAGAAAAACCTCATAAATGCAATGAATGTGGGAAATGTTTTACCAATAGCAGTAGCCTCCATTATCATCAAAGTTTTCACACTGGAGAAAAGCCTTATAAATGCAGTGAATGTGGGAAATCTTTTACCCGGAGCAGTGAGCTCTCTTCTCATCAGAGAGTTCACACTGGAGAAAGGCCTTATGTGTGCAGTGAATGTGGGAAATCTTTTACCTGGAACACTGCCCTTCATCGTCATCGGAGAGTTCATAGTGGAGAAAAGCCTTATAAATGCAATGAATGTGGGAAATCTTTCAAAAGTAGCAATGGTCTCCACTATCATCAGAGAGTTCAAACTGGAGAAAGCCATTATGCTTGCAAATGACAGAGATATCTCAGCCAAATTTCTAAATTTGCTCTGCCCATATGAGTCCAAATGTGAGTAATTACTTAGATGTATAGGAAATGTAGTTTCTTAGGTCTTAACAATAGTATAAGAAAATTTGTGAAGTCTCATTTGTCTCAATTGTATCTCATGCATTTAATCACCTACATATGTAAAGTTCCCTTAAGTTTTTGCTATTGTGTTTGTTTTTATGCTGGAACCACATGTATCTATGTTGCACTTTCTGACATACAGAGACATGTTGCCAGATCTATGTCACTGTATATTTCTGTTGCTGAAGGTATTTCACCTGAACCACGTATAAGACCCTTACAGATGGTATCCATCACCATCCTTATGGGCCCAAGGAAGCTGTGTCTGTTGTCTAATTTGTTGACGAAAATGAGGAATACCTGAGCCCTTAGTTCTTTCTTGTCTCCCTGTCTTGTGTTGCCACATAGGACTCATTACTGTTGGCCCCAGGAAACATAATGTGGCAGAGGGCCTGCCATTTTCAGGGACACACATTCCCTAAATGCCAGTGATGAATTTATTGAGTTCCTAAGTCATCAATGGAAGAACTGCCAGTCTTTGGTCTCTTTCTTTGCAAAATAATGAAGGCTTTTTCCTAGCGCTTCCTTAATGTTGGGTGTTCTAATGACTCTATGGATTAGTTTATATCGGGATCTGGACTCTCCTAGCATGATGAGGTGAAAAACTTAAATGGAGTCTCAAATATTCTTTGACGTTGAAGGAACGGTATGGTAAAGAAATTTCCACAGCAGTGTTTGCCAAATGTACATTGATGCCCATATTTTTCTAGGAAACTATTTGGACTCTCTAGTCCTGATGTGAAGATGGATGCTTTGAGACACAGAGATCACTCCAAAAAGGAGGTAGCTGTGTGACAAGTTCAGGTTTATCTCCTAGCAGTGTGAAATTTTTTCTAGTTTCTCAAGGGATGCCCATACACTTGCCCACGTCTTGCAGAGGGTCATGTGCCCTAAAGCCTACAATTTCATGGCTAATGGTCACCGATTGGAGTACTGTAGCAGTTAGGGGAAACCATTTCACTACAGAAACATTGACCTGATGAGTTTGTAGGGAATTACAGCCCATTAGATGGGATGTTCCTCATCTAGACTTGCATGCAAGAATGGTTCTGAGAAAAAGACTACAGGAGCGGTGTGTACACAGATCTGAGGCATGTTTATCTTCTTCGGACACAGTCATTATCATTCAATATAATCAGTAGGTTTTGTGGCTTCCTATAGCTTCTCAGATGTTCCCATTAGAGCCATTGGTGCACTGGCAGAAAAACAAAGACAAAGGCAAAGGGTGTCTAGTCCAGTGATGTGACTTTTGTGACCCAGACAGCATTCTTGTTGGTTTGGGTGAAAATTCTTCATTGTTTATTACATTTTCTGTCCCAGAGGGCATAAGAAGGTGGATTGCATAGAGATTTGCCAAACATGTTTTTCCAATATAGTTGAAAATACACATTCTTAGATTTTGAATCATTTTTTAAAAGGTATAATGAGTAAAGTACAGGTTAGGTATACTGTTTCATAAATCATGATGTGTTAATGTAACTAAAACCATCACTATAATCATAATATTGACCATATCTGTCACTGTGAACTTGGTTCATGACTTCTTTTAAATCTGTCTCTGTGCTTCACAGCTTAAGTAACTAACCATTGATTGACATTCCATTTTAATAGATCAGTTTGCACTTTTCTAAGGATTTTTATGTTTTAATTTATGTTTCATAAATTATTGGAGATTTATTAAAGATATATTAGTAAGTCATCTTTTTCCTGATAAGTATTCTTACCTTTGAATATATCACCAATAGTTTATCCATATTTATTAATATTTGGTCATTTCTAATAAAGCTGGTACAAACGTTACTGTATAATTTTATATATGGATATAAATTTCATTTACCTTTACCAAAAATTCCGTGCCTGATCTGTATATAAATGTTAAAATTTACAAAGATTAACATTGTGTGATCTAAACTGAATATGCCATCATGGATGCTGTAGCTTACGTGTTTAGGTATGATGCCATGCACAGCAGAGTTACTACTTTGGATTACTGGGCTTGTGTGTGGATTGTGTGCTAGCTCCCCAGAATGGGGTGTGCAGGAGGCAGCCTTGTCGATGTTGTATTCTCATATCGTGTTTCTCTCCCTTTCTCCAAATATTTTTTTTTTTTGCCCTTTCTCCAAATATTAATAAAAGTGCCCATCTTGCGTGACTCATTCATTGAGCTTTGACCTATGAACCAGGTGGTCATGGGTCGATTCCAAGTCAGGGCACATTCCCAAGTTGCCGGCTCAAACCCCAGTGTGACGTGTACAGGAGGCAGCCAATCTATGATTCTCTCTCATCACTTGTGCTTCTTTCTATCTCTCTCTAATAGTCAATGAATATATATTTATTGATTGATTTTTAAAAGTCAAACTATTTAAAAATAAACTGGTTGTACCTTTTTGCATTTATCCACTAGTGTGTGAGGTGTTCACATGCTAGAAAGTATTTTGTTCGAGCAAGCATTTTTTATATAAACATATTCTGTAATTTTGTCTTTCTACATCACTGTTTATTGTATTTTTTCTAGGAATTTATGGTGAACCTTTATCCGAAGTGTATTTGTTGAGTCTGTATATCTGTTAAAATACTTTACTGTATGTTCTGCGTAATGTGCTGTGAGTTTTGGCAATTTTCTTCAAATAAAACACTGAAACAATAGAGATGGATGTTGGAATTTTACTTATTTTGTGCCTTTTTCATTTTATGAAGTAAACTTTTTTTTTGTATTGGAATATGTTTTAATATTTTTTCTTTTTTAATATATTAATTTACATAAACAATTTTTATTGATTTCATTGAGCAAGGGAAAGGGACTGAGAGATAGAAACATGAATGTTGAGAGCACAGCATCATGGGTCAGTGGTTCCATGTGGACCTGTGAACCAAGAGGTCACGGTTCCATTCAGTCAGGGAACATGGTTGCACCCCGGGCTAGATACCCAATGTGGGACATGCAGGAGGCAGCTAATCAATGATTTTCTCTCATCATTGATGTTTAAATTTTGTCTCTTTTTAAAAAATATTATTTTACTCATTTTAGAGAGGGAGAGATAGAAACATCAATGATTAGAGAGAATCATTGCTTGGCTACCTCCTGCATGCACCATCCTGGAGACTGAACCCATAACCAGGCATGTGCCCTTGACCGGAATCAAACCTGGGACCCTTCGTCTCCAGGCTGATGCTATACACTGAGCCAAACCGGCTAGGGATGTTTCTATTGCTTTCTCTCCTGGCAACTCCAGCCTTTCCCTGCAGAGACATTCTCAGGCCAGGCACTTCTTACTCCCCCAATGTCCACACGCACCTTTGTCTTTGGGTGCATTTTATAAGAAACTAAAGGCCCAGTGCACGAAATATTTCTACAAGTGGGGTCCCTAGGGGTGGCCTGTGGAGATTGGGCCCTAGCTTGCACCCCCAGCCTCACATTTCCACCTCCCACCTCCAGCCTTGCAGCCCTGCAGCCCTGCCTGGTACTTGGCCTTGACCTGGAGCCACATGCTCCCTGTTCCGCCTGTTCCACCATCCCACCCAGGTCCCCTTGTCTGTGTCCATTGGGGCTGTCATTGCCTCCATTGCCACCCGCTATGTTCTGTGCTGCCTACTAGTGGTCAGCACACGTCATATCAAGCAGTTGAACTCCTGGACAGTTGAACTCCTGGTCAATGACTGCCTGAGGGGACAAGGTCAATGACTGCCTCAGCAGATAATTTGCATATTAGGCTTTTATTGTATAAGATGGGACCTACAAGAAGCCCTGACTCTGCTACAGGGAGGCGGGTTCTGTGGGCACTCAGGTGTCATTGTGGTGGCCCCACCTGGGAATCTCCAGCAGACTCACTAGAGCTCCCTGAGTCTCAGTTGGCTGAATGTGACATGCAGATAATTGATGGTGCTTACTTTGGCCTTCCAAGTTCAATACAAGTAACAAGGTGAGTACTTATTGCCAAGGTTCCAGGGGTTAGATTTTTGAGGATTTTCTCTTCTCACAACAACCTGGGCAAGTGGAAACTCATATCAAATTACAAAAAAAAATTCAGTATCTGAGAAATGAAGTCAGCTCCCCACGTTTACACCACAGACAAGTGTCAGATTCAAGGGGGTGGATTTTAACCATTTTCTCCAGCATCGGACACAGTCTCTACCACTGATGTGCAGCCCTCACTGGAGCAGGTACAGTCTGAGGACCAGGGTGGCTCAGCTGCAGCTCCTGTTTCCATGGTTACAGTTATGCGTTTCCTCCCATTCCCTTTACACCTCAGAGCACTTCCCCTTGGCCTCCCCGTGTTCAGGGGAACGCCATCATTTCTCAGCTGCAGTGGTTTCTCCAGGGGAACCTGCTTTCACAGTGAGCTGCTGTTTGTCTGCCTCTCCTTTGATCAGAGCACAGAGTTTGACCCACAGGAGACCTCGGTATTTAGGGCTTTGTCTCTGCACCTTTGTCCACATGTTGGGTGTCATGCTGTGATCCCATCCACTGTGATGAATTTCATGCCTCAGTTTGACCCTTCAAATGGTGTTCCTATGTGACACATTCATCCTGCAGGAGATGAGACAATGGACATGTATTTGGGGACCTAATATTCGGAAGTGATGATGGAGTCCTACATTATCCTGGTCTCATTAGACTGGTGCTCACCTCCTATTCATGCATAGGACCCTCCGTGTGATTCCATCCTCTATATCCCTACTGGCTGAATGAGACAATGGCTCTCACCATGCTTTCCCTGCAGCCTGGATCATGTTCTGGACCCTCGTCCTCCTTCCGAGCCTCCTGTGTCTGCACCCTGGGTCTTTGGGTTGGAACAGAGTCCTTTTGAGTACAAGCCCTCATTGCAGTGCACAGCACACTGGGCCAAAACTGAGGTCCTTACTATGCTTTTCCTGACAATCCACCCTAACTGACTCTCCACACACAGTATTTTTTGACTGTAGGTGAAGGTGACTTTGCAGATGATGGTGTTTGCCATTTTGGCCAGTTACTGTTTTTCTGAGTCGTTTCCATGTATATGGGCGCTATAAATGTTAATAACTTGTTGATTGTTTTCCCCTGTTAACCTATATTGTATCAATGTAATTACTAGGCCAACCAAAGAGCCTAGTGTGGACGAAAGGGGCCACAGGCTGACCTGACAAGCTCAGGGAAGGCCTGCGTGGCAGCCTATCAGACTCAGAGACCTAAAATAACCACAAAGGATGGTCTGAAATTAAACTTTAACTAAAAGCAGTTATGGTGGGCAGTTATGTCCTAGGCCAGTTGATCTTCACTGACAAGATCAACTTTGATCCTTACTGAGCCCATTTGCCTTTTTGCCTCTAAGATAACATACCCTTGAAGTGTCTGGGTAACTTGTAACTTCCCTTTTTCTGGAGCCCCTGGGGCACAACCAAATGTTCTGGGCGCCAGGACAGATACTACAAATTCCTTCATTATCATGTTAATTGATCCTGCACCCACCTAAGTATGTGTCCATCATTTTACTTTTTATCCTATCACAGAGGTTTCCCCCGCTTCACTTAATCCCACCTCCTTAAATCTGTCACCAATGAATTTCATATATAAATACGGATGTAACCCTGCCATTCTCCGGAGCACTATCTCAATTTGTTGAGGTTCTGCTTCCCGGCATATGTCGACAGTTTGGCTCAAATAAACTCACAAAAATTCTTTACAGGTTTCAATGGTTTTTTACGTTAACACTAGAAAACAAGAAGGAAATATTATTTTGCCTCTACAATGTCATTTCCCTCATTTTCACCCATTTAACTCCTTAGAAAAAGGGTACACTGTTAGGGTTTGGCAGGTGATGCGGGCTGTGGAAGAATTTACACCTAAAAGAAGCCATAGTGGGAGGAAGTTGGTTTTCCTTTCCAAAAGAAGAAATGCCCAAGTATTGGTTGTCAATACAGGGTAAGGGAGAAAGGCTGGGTTCTGCTTTTCATCAGTGGCTCTAGCTAAGAGAGAACTAATGCAGGGGCCTGGGGCTTTGCTGAAGTTGAGTAGATATGGGGGGCTGTTTTTAAAAGTTACAGTTTGTTTGCTTTCCAGGAGACAGTCTGGCAGATGTATAGGGAGGTGACTTCTCAGTACTTTTCCCAAGCTTAGAAAATATGACTAGAGACAAAGTTATGTAGAGTTCAAAAGAGGCTTGTTTGAAGGGGCGGAGGGAAGGAAACTTTCTACTAACTAGAGACCCCTTGGTGCAAATTATCCCTGAGGTGACAACAGCAGGAAGGAGGGGTATGTAAGAATTTCACCTTGAAAGTAGCTTATCTTGTTCAGCAATTTATACAAAGGAGCTGTTTGAATCAGAGGAGCCAACGATGTTGGGGTTTAATTAGCAGGTGCTTCTCATAAACTGTGGAAGGTCACAGCAAAGAAACAGATCTTTTTCTTGTCCTTACAAATGCCTCAACCATGTTTAGAACCTAATGCTTTATTGCCTGAAGAGTGACTACTTCTAGGAGACCAAATAAAGGGACACCAGCAATAGTGGGGCATTGTGTTCCGGAGGATGTCAGCAATGGGTCCCAGGATGAATAAACCACTCATTGAATTTTCTCCTCAACCCACAAGTTCTAAGTCCCCAGTATGGACAAAAATGATGGCAGATAGTAAACCTAGCAAGCTCAGGGAGCCTGGCATGGCATGGCCAATCTTACAAAGTCAGAAGCCAAAAGTAACCACATAGGATGATTTGAAGTAAAAATTCTAAGTAAATGTGAGTCTTGTTATGCCCAGAATTCAAGATCCCCAAGAAACCATGCCAGGGAGCCAGTCCGATGCAAAAGCAGAAGGTCCTTTATTGAGTTAGCTAACCCGACCCGGGCCTCCAGTCGACGCAGCGACCGGAAACCGAGTGCCACCCATGAGAAAATCAGGGCTTTAATAGTGAGGGGAGGGGAGCTGACTGTGGGCCCTGCCGATTGGCCAGGCGCAAGTCGGGTCTTGTTACACAGGATGTGGTCATCTCTATGGCGCACACATCACTTGCTTGTCATTGGTTAGTTCAAAGAAATCCCGGGCGTGGCCAGCAGGGGCCTGGGCTTCCGGGAAGAAGGCGCTCTTCTGAGCACATGGCCTCTGCCCCAACATGGAGGATCCAGGGTAAGATGGAGAGCATAGCCCTCGCCCTTTCAAGTCTCAGGGGTAGTTATGTCCTAGCTGTGAGTGTGTGTGTGTGTGTGTTGCAAAGGTCAATTTCATTTAACCCCCTTATATCTACTCCTTAGAATCTAATGTATAAAAAAGGTGCAAAACTGCCATTCTCCCGAGCATTGCTCAACCTGTTGTTATTTTCCATCCTGGCAAATGTGGCCGACTTGGGTCAAATAAACTTAGAAAAATTCTCCACAGGTTTGGACATTTCTTACAACAACACCAAAAGCAATCAACTCATGGGAAGCAGGAGAACATTACATGGAGGGGTATCAGCATTTCCAGGGACTCAACTGACAGAAGACAGATTTATGAACACAAATGTAGAGCAGACCCAGAACCCAGAAAGCTAGAGCTTTCCAGTTGCTTTCAGAGAACAGAAGAGAATGCTCAAGTCTCAGCTGACTTGGTTTTTATTGTTTGTGTGCATGTGTGTTTAATCTTCACCTGAGGATTTTTTTTTCACCCTCCCCCACTTACCCTCTGAGATTCCATAGTC